GTGTTCAGCACGGATAAGGATTATGTGCTGCAAGTCAGACGGAGGGAGCCATTAAGGTTTTGGGTTTTGCAGTTTTGGCTATTTTTTTAGATCGGGTTTAAGGCTTTTGTGCCAAGAAAACTTCGGTTTTTCGGTTTTGGTGTTCACTGCGGTTCGTGGATTTTCCGTTTTACAGCATTTCGTTTTCGGTTTTAGTCTAAAAAGACTAACAGGTTTCGGATTTGGTATCCGATGTGGTTTTCGGTTTTTCGTATTTGAGATTCTCAATGGCTATTACAGCCAACGATTAAAATTTTGGCTATTTTACGGGTAGCAGTTAGTATCTTTCCATTGCGGTTACCAGAAATATTTTTTTTCGGGTGACTTTTTTTACCACTGACGGTTAAAGTTTGTCATTTGTTAACGGCGAAAATTCAGGCCGTTTTACGGCTAACGGTTAACCCCATCGAGATCCTCCTATTTGGGTTCCTGTTTAATTTCTCTTCGATCTGAGCGAAAATTGTGCGCTTCCACTGATCTCGAATACCCACGAAACCTCTGTATTCTCCACTTGTCAACAATTATCGGATCGATTAGGTTTTTGACAAATGGGATATGGTTTTCGGTTTTGTTTAAATTTTTTTCCGGTTTTGCGGTTTTGGCTTCTTAAAGACCCCAAAGCCCCCCTCCATATGTCATCGGTTCCCAAGGAAAGCAAGCACTTATAAAGCATAAAGATCGTGTCTGATGTCATCGCTGAGTGCGTTAAATAAGATAAAAAAAAAAAAAAAACTTAATTGTACGATTAATTGAACGATTTTGACAAGGAATAATTTCCTATCGACAGCGATTTGTGCGATTGCATGGTTTATGCCTGGGTAATGCAAACTTTGCGCAATGTTTGCTTCTGCTTAAATACGCTTAATTATAGTTTGAAATACTGAAATGATGCAAATTACAGCCGTTGTTCAACCATAAGTTTACTACTGTTGCGTCACGGTGATCAAGCCGATTGAAACAAGAGAAGTACTGTAAAATAACTCCTGTGAGTTACAGATTACTCCAAGTTTCAAACTTTCCGTCACAAAGCTTACCTTGAAGTATGCTTTTCCATCCTTCACCCAGCCGATGACGATATCAGCTCCTTCCATCTTACCCTGACCCGTGGAAATACCAAAGCCGACCCATCCAGTTGTTTGGGCTTCCACTGTAAAGGAAATCTCTTTCTTTGCAGTGTCGACATTCCAATACAGCTTCACTTTTTGGCTTTCATCCAAAGCAGCAAAGAAGGAATGTTCTGATGTAAGATCAATGATAGAGGACTTTGCTAAACACACGAATATCAGCAAACAGCAGGCCGATATCTTCGTGATCTTCTGCATCTGACGAAAAGATGACATTGTAGCAAAATTTCTTCAAATGTACCTATAACAGGTACTCGCACAATCAGAAAACAAAAAATTGGTTTTTAAATAAAATGACTGAATGCAGGTCGAATATTGCCCAGAGTAACACCTCTATCGTTGAATGCCAAGACTGACGCTAATCTATCTAGTGAAAAGCATTAATTGAGTCAGTTCAAGGTGAAGATGGTTACGGTAATGAATGCACGCGCATTACGTCAGGATTATAAATACTTCAACACAACAGGCACGGCAAAAAACTTTCCCGTGTGAACGCTGAAAAGCGGTTGAAGCTATCCTAGAGTGATTATTTAACGGGGTCAACTTATCCATTTTAGTTAAGGAAATGATCTGCAAAGCATTGTCGTGCACGAGTTACTGTTAACATGATAGACTACAACACCCCAATTAATCATGTTATTTTAGGGCAAGATTTCCGCACAGCCTTATATCATTATGCATCCAGTTATTAGATAAAGAAAACAACGGCAAAAACTATAACCTTTTGGACTAAGTCTTTGTTTCAGGATAGAATGGGATTTTACGAAAACCTTTCTCAAAAGAGTATTAAAAAGGACAGGCACGAATTTTACATGACACTTTTAATGGTTTAAAAATTTAACTTCAGATATGCACAAAGGTCGACAAATAACGAAAAACTTATCATTTACACCAAATATAATTTGCTTACGTGGTAATAAGTTCGTCAACGATTATGCAAATGTAATAGCAATTTGTAATGTCTTAAGAAAAAAAAGCGCTGTCATCCTGTGATATTCATTGGCTCGAAAATAACTTTGACTTCAACAACAACAGACTTCAATAACAATAACGAGCGCGCATTTGGTGGATTTGCTTGAGCCTGCGGGTGCATATGATGAACACGTGAGAGAAATCACTGACCCTTCCCAGACGCCTCGCGCTAACCTCCGCGCGCCTGTAAAATGCAAAATTTACAGCTGTTCTGCGGGCTACATAAATCATCATAGAGTTAAGCGTGGTATCATTTGCTGGGATATTAATAAATATTTCTGATTATGCTGAAATAGTTCAAGGATGTGATCTATTTGTCTAACATAAATAAAAAGTCGGTTTTATTCTGTGTTACGTAATGTATTTTCCGTCTCCCATGACCTACTTTTGGCCTTTGTTTCCACCGAATTTTCACGCTGCACCTTCTTTCATCGACCATGAGTTTAAAAAGGTACTTTTAAAGCCTAAATTTCGTAAGATGGTCGCGGTTATTTATCGCGGTGAGTACACTTCTGGATCACGACGTTCAAAGTGCTCTCAATTTTCTTCCAAAGAATTCGCAAAGAAAGTAGATTTCAGAGAGATGGTCACACATGCCTCTTGGTGGAATTGGTCGCCTATTAAAAAGAAAGGGTTTTCCGAAGTTCAAACTCTGAGTCCTTAAAACGATTAACCTCATCATCTCTAGCATAGAAAGGGTCTCAAGATTTTCATCCCATATGGTAGAAAATTACTAAAAGTTGTACTTAGGAAGCGAAACAAAAAATTGTGTAGTAAAACTAAAGAGAGCGTGACCCTAACGCATTGAAACGTGACCTGTCACCCTAAGCTTACATGTAGAAACATGATCCTTGTGAATGAATAACTTTATTTATATGTCAAATCGATCTAGCCGTCCCTATCCGAGAAGACTAGAATACCTAATCATTTCTTGATGTTATAGAAAGGTAGCATATTCTTCTCAATTATTTTAAGACCCTGAGTGTTGGTCCGGCCGGGGCTCGAACCCTCGACCTCCCGCACAACCGTGAGTCCAGCGTTCTATCCATTGAGCTAACCGGGAGGCGGTTAAAACAAATAATATTTGTAATATATTAGTGTCTTTATTTCTCTATTATGACTTTATATCCGAGTTTCATAACATTATTGTGACAGGCACTTTGCGATAGGTGACCACTCTAGTTGGACTATTTTGCTTCGTTCTAAAATGAATAAAAACAAGTTGCGGTTTATGCGGAAATTTCATCAGTATCTATAGAATAAACAGAAAGTATCCCTCACGAGTGAGCGAAGCGCGAACGAGTGAGAGATACTTACAGCACTCGAAGATAAAATTCGTATCCCCGTGCGCGGCCATTTAATATCCTCTATAAATTTTTAATTTTTTTTACTGAGAAACAAGCCGATGAGAGAACAGGAAAATTTTGGGTTAGCAACCATCTGGCATAGCATTGGGTGAATCTCAACTAAAGCAGTTTATTTAAACAGTTTTTCTTCTCTAAAGAGTTTTGAGTTCATTGTAAATTAATTTCAACCTACTGTAATTGTAATTGCTAATTGTAAATCTATTTTGGGTCTTATCATTACCTTCGCTGACACCACTTTATCTTCAGAAATGCTTTGTTCCCTATTTTCTTCAGTTAAAATGAGCAAACTAGAAATTACTGTTAAACTCATGTGCGATAATCGTGCCATAAAAAAAAACAACTGTTTCGGCACCGACACAACTCGGACAGCATCACGGACCTGATCACGAATCAATCACGGACCGGATTTTGGGTCAGAGTGAGACAGAAAGAACATAATAAAATAAATATGTTCAATATAAATTTCAACCTCACGAAAACAACTTTTTACGGTCATTTTTTGGCATGATTCATGCCATCATCAGTTTACTGTGTTGTATCCGTTGAGGTTACGATAAAATTGGAATTAACAACGTAATTTTAATGTAACGCGGAAAAACAAAGTCAAAGGATACAACGCCATAAACTCCGCCGCTCGTGAGTCATGTTAACACAAGACCCCAAAAAAACTGTTCTCATAAGTTTGAATTCAATTTCGACTGTTTTATTTTCACGAAGCTACGGATGTATCAAATATGAAATAGATATGTACATGAACAAATAAACAAATTCATTCTTTCTTTTCTTCATTCATTCATTCATTCATTCATCATGACAGTCTATAAAGCGAAGGTTTAGTGAAAACTGATGCACACAACAGTTTTAAAATTCGCTGCAATTGTGAACACTTTACAGGAATGAGTTTCAACAATGGGCGTTGTTTAGTTTGACAGGTGTATTGTTATACATGGCTGGGTTTGGAGTCAGCATTAAAACTAAAAATTCTCAAACTTGGGATCCTAAAGGAATTTATGAAAGGATAAATCCGAATTTGCGAAACTGGCAATGTAACAGTTATAAACGAACGACGTAATTAATTTAATATTACAGTCTAGTGTTGTTTGCCCATTCAGATTGGGAACAATCTGTGAACTATAAAAGAACTGACGCGGAAACTGTTTCCAAACAGAATTTACATAAACTTCAACATTACCAATATTCGGGGATAAAACTCGTTTATTGACAGCAGATAAAAACATATTCTTTTGCATTTTCTTCTCAATATATAGTACATTGTATTTTGATTTCTCCTTAGCGTCTTCCAAAATATATCACAAGCTGTGGTGGACATTATGTTGGAAGATATCGAAAGATGATGACGCAGGAATATTGGCAGCGGAAGGCTTTTGGAAAGTACCGCAGAATATATACTTTCCTTAGTCTTAAAATTCATTAAATGGTCTTCAACGCAACCCTTTGCCTCTATTTTAAGTTAGACTTTGAGAGATATTTCTTTTACTGAGCGAAAAGGTTGGGAAACTTTTTTGTTTTCCGCAATGAGCGATTGTCTGGGTATTTGGTTGAGTTGCTTTCTCTTTTTTGTTGTGACTGTTTTAAAAAGTGCATGATATATCTGAGGTCCTTCTGACTAACAAGGGACATCGATCAGAAAGCGACAACATGCAGCGATCTTTCTTGTCCTGTCAAGAAAGATCCTGTTTACGCAGCGAACAGCTATCACAGACGTTCATCTATATGGTAGTTAGTCTTGTTAGATACCTACCTTGAAATTCAAGTTTCTTGACGACAAACAATGAGACTGATTGGCGTAGTGATTTATACGTCGGAAATGCGCAATAACATCACGAAATTCAGCCTGAAACTTGCTCTCAGTGTTAGGAAGGCGCTGCCTGTCGAAGAGTTTATTCAAGGAAATTTAGGGCCACTTCGGGTGGGGGAGGGAGAAGGGGAAATTGTCGGGGTCTGGAGCGAGGACGATGTTCTCAGTACTTGCAAAACGATCAACACGCATGTTAGTCAGTGGTACTTTCAAGCAGCTGAAGAACTTTGTCGATATTCCAGATGTTGTGAACGGATTATGAGGATAGGGAATTTATTGTTCTTCGGATGTAGCGTATGAAGTCCGTTTCAGTTGAAATTATAGTTTATTGAGTGTGAATCATGATAATTTCAGCGTGAGAAAATTAACCAAAATTGAAAGAAACGGCGGTTAACGACCTTTAGTTAAGACAGATTTTACTTTTAGCTTTGTCAATGAAGGATTTATTATAAGGAAAAAATATTTCACTTTAATAAGAATCAAGAATGACTTGTTTATTTTGAGAGCAGAGAAAGAGAGCCAGCTGTGTTTGTAGCACAAATGTTTTCTTTGTTTTGATTGTCTTCTGCCGCTTTTTGCGACTTCGTCGCAGACATTTTCCAAAAGTTACAAATAACCACACAAGCGAGTAAGTCACTGTGTTTTAGAAGCGCAGAAGCGTATTTAGTTAAGCTCAAAACAGAATGGTAAAGTACTTGAATAAGCTTTGCGTTTGAAGTCTTCAGGTTTTCTTTTCCCTTCTTTCAATTCCTTTTACAGATTTCTCTGAGCGTTTCAATTTTCTTTTACTTATTTTACAACAGCACTTGATCCTTGATGTTCTCGTTTACACTTTTACGCGGGGAATTTGTGCGCGGCTGGCCAGATTGATCCCCTCGCGCATGCCCAACGTTTGAGCGCTGGTTTCATTTGTTGTGCAGTTATGCTGTACCGGCCAGAGTTCTTGGCACCTACCGCCACAGCTGCTTTTAATTTTAGTCACCAGGCCCCACACTTACGACTGCAGCTACAAAGAAGAAGATTCCAATGCGACATTCACCATCCCTTCTCGTCGCAGATGAATCCATGTCGACGTCTGAAACAGACTTCAAGTTAGCTTATCACCATCACTGACTATGCCTTTGTCGACTTCATTCTGCAATTGAGGCTCTGTTTCGTTTGTTCAGCTACCATGTGTAATCCCTTAGCTATATCTGTAGCAATATCCGTGTCGCCACC